TCCCCCTTGTAATAACCTTGGAAGTCAGGGCATTTGGGGAGGGCTGGCTTGTGACCAGCAGGAGGGGTGGAACAACCCCTGACCTCCAATCAAGATGTAAGAAAGTAATCTCCACCAATGGACAGCAGAGAAAGAGTTGACTGACAAAACATTGGGAGGGGCTAAGGGTATAGAAAGCAGAGCATCCCTTTTGTAGATGAGCATGTGGCTGCTAATCACGGAGACTCCCAGTGCTGCAATCTTTCCTTATTCAGTCCTTTGTTAAGGTTTAATAAACCTTTAAAAAGTTAAAAGAAGGGTTGTTTCTCAGATAGGCAATGCTTTGGGCCATTTTCTTGGTGTGATTTCCTTTGCTTGGGTCCCATTTGAGTGCTCAGTTGGGGTACAGGCTGTAGGTGCTTGGGGCACTCTTGGAGTTCCTCTTGGATCCCTTGAACAACAGGCTTTGGCCCACAAGGGGAATTTGTGCTGCTTTGTGACAGAGGAGAACTTCCCAGGCTCTTTTGTGTTTGCTGTAGGGAAGGTTGGTTAGTGCTTGGCAAAATCTCACAGAGCAACATGGAGCGTTTGCTTTGTGATGTCAGGGCATGGTTGCCACATTGTCGTGGTGACATCAGAAGGGTGCCTTGGTGCACGGAAGGCCTGAGTGTCAGAGCAGCCCTAGCGCTTGCTCAGTTCAGGAGAATCCTCCTGGCCAAGGCTTTTGTCAGTGGGCTATTGCACACTGACAGGAGCCTCGTTTTTTCTACCAGGTGCGCGCAGCCTGCAGACTTGCAGGCCACTATCACAATGATGGAGCGACTGGCACCTGTCCTTTTCGCCGCATATGGCGTTACTTATGGTGCCTATTTCCTTACACACTTTGCACGTAAGTAGATGTTTCCTCTTCTGCTTATGTTAGGGTGTAACCTAACCTGGCTTTTGTATGTCTTCCTGCTCTTTCTTAGTGACTGAGTTTCTGCTTTTGAAACAGAAAGAGCATTAGGATGCCACTGCTTTGGTCAGGCTCCTGTCAAGGTGTTCAGCTAAAAAGGGGGTGTCTGTAGCCACAGGGGCAGCATTTGCAAGGCAACCTGCAGGGCTTCTGTTCCCTCCACGGGAGAGTCTGTGGCAGCAGAGTCTTTCATTTCCTCAGTTTGCTGGGACAAGCAAGACACCTTTGAAAATGTAGACTGGCAGACCTTCACGGAATGCCTTCTAAAAACTCTGCAGTTGTTCCCAGAATTCAGGGAAAGCTTCTTTCTTTCTAAATTTTGTCATGAAGGGATTTGACTGTCTAACTTGATCCTTTAGTGAGTGCTAAAATAGAGATTCCCTTTGCAATGAAATGCAAACTCCAAAGCACTGAGTGTCTGCTCCAGAACCCTGGAGTTACTGTTGTGCTGTTTCACAACAGAACTGCTGCAGCTCAGGGGGATTTTGGGGAAGCTTTTCTGGGGAACAGTTTCCAGCAAGTTAACGAGAATTGGTGCATGCAACTGACTTAAAAAAAAAAAAGGACCCGAGGGAGAGATTAAAAAAGCTGCTTTATGTATTTGGTAGAAGAGGAACACCAAGTGTTCAAGAACAATTTGAATTTTCTTCATCATGTTTGTAGTCATTTACTGACAAAACAGGCACAAGTGTAGGCACAAGAAAAAATATTGTCCTGATCTCTTGCTGGCTGTGTGAATGAAACATGTCTCCTGGAGGGATGTTGTGAAATGGGAAATCATCTGTGTTTGGGTTGACTTGTTCTGTGGGTTTCACAAGCCCAAGCAGTTTTCTCAAAGCATGTGGTTCATTTTCCATTGCCCACTACAGGTCACCTGAAGCGTGTATTCAGTGGAGTTGATCCTGAGGTGAGTGAGATTTTGTTCCTGGTGTTGAGAAATTATGGACTCAGCTGTCAGCTTGGCCAGTAGCAGTAGAGTGTAGAGGGAGGCCAAAAGAAAATCCATATTCATGCCTTAACCAAAATAACATGGGCCTAATGTGGATAGTTCCTAGTTTCCATCTCAGAGCCCTGAAGAAATATAAACTCAGTTTGACAGAATGTCGCTTCCAGACAGCACCTAGAGGGGAATACTGAACTAAGAGCAATTTCCTACAGCATAGAATTAGCCGATTTCAAATTAGTCAGCGTGACTGAGAATTCCACTCTGAGAAATTTACTGCTATATCCTTAGAAGATGCAGCTGTAGAAAAACAAGGACATCTTGTAATGGTGCCTGGTGTATTTGAAGTAATTTAGGAAATTTTGTGGCTGGGGAGCTGCATGGGCCAAAAGGCGCCAGGGTTGCTGCTGGCCTTGAACCACTGAAGATGAGGCAGCGTGTGGCCAGGTGGCCAAGAAGGCCCAGGGCATGGTGGCCTGTGTCAGCAGCAGTGGGGCAGCAGGAGCAGGGCAGTGAGCGTGGCCCTGTGCTGGGCAGCGCTGGGGCCACAGCTGCAGTGCTGGGTGCACTTGTGGGCCCCTGGGCAGCAGAAAGTCCTTGAGGGGCTGCAGCGTGTGCACAGAAGGACAGGGGAGCTGGGCAAGGGGGTGCAGCACAAGGCCAGTGAGGAGGTGTTGAGGGAGCTTTAGCCTGCACAATGGGAGGCTCTTGAGGGACCTTCAGGAAAAATTCCATCATTCCCTGCATGACAGTGCTCAGCACAAAGGCTGGTTCACACCAAAAATTCATCACTCATTGCATCCAAGGGCTTTAGACACTGGAGTGGGTGACACTTCCATCTTGTGGTTTGTTGGCTCGTTGTTTTGCTCGCACGAGAAGGCCTGTTCATTTTCCTCTTTTTCCAGTAAGCAATGATGCTTCTGTACAATGTTCCCTGCCCTTTTGCAGCCCTGGATGGGATTGTGGTCCAGTTTGAGTTTTCTACGTCTGCAGCAGCAGTAGCAAAGGCGTTGCTGTCACTTTCCTAGTTTTCCATTTCAGTGCTTTCAAGCTCTAAAAGCTGCATTTGTCTGAGGTAACCTTGGCTTGCTGATGGCTTGCGGATGGCAGCCATGGAGGAAAATCAACTTCATATCCATCTAGAGTGGTGTTGAATTGTCCCATGATAATTTGGTGGCTGTGATTTAGAACCCCTCTGTCACTCTGAAATGTTATGATTTTTTCCTTAGAAGATGTTGTGGTAGATCTGAAAAGAAATGAGGTTCTACATGATAGGAAATGGCCTGTGCCTCATGCTCCTCTCTTGCCACAGATGACAGAAGCAAGAGCCGCCTCTCCCCTGGCCCCCAGTGCTCCTGGAGAAGAAGCCAAAGAGGAGCAAACTGAGGTGGATGAGCGCCAGCCTCCATCAGTGGTCAGACCACCATATTCTCAACGTGTAAGTGCCAGTTGTGTGTGGTGCTGTCTTTAGTGCAAGGCAAAGCTGCAAGGTTTGGAGCAGCCAGCACTTTGCTGTTGCTGGCTGAGGATGCTGGGTGCTGGAGTCCTGCCAGGAGCTGGGGATTTCCTCCAGGCAGAGACCGCAGAACTTGGCCTTTGAGCTGTCATGTTGAGGCAGCAAAGGGCTGGTGCCTGTGGGAGAGCATCTGGCTGCTTGGCTCAGGGAAGCTCTATCGCTTGGCTTCTGCAGTGCTATGGCCAAGGGCAAAGGAGGGAGTGCTGGAGGTGCCAGGCCTTGCTTTGTTTGTTTTCCCTCTCTGGAAAGGCGTGTTTGGCTTGTGAAAGCGGTCGGCACTTTCCATGAGTAGTTCTTCACTTGTACAGTCTCTTTTGGGCCAGCTGTCTTTTGGCTTTTGATAAGCTGCAAGGGGAGGATTGTGTGGTCCATGCAGCTGTGGGGGCCCATTCTTGTCCCGCGTGGCCAAAGAAACAAAGTGCGGAGTCGCGAAGCTTTCTTGCGAGGCCAAAAGCAGAAGCGGCCAGTTTCTGTTGATGCATAGTTTGGTGCAGTCTGCAGCTTTGGCAAGTGCCTCTGAGCCTGCAGTGGGGGTGAAGCTGCATGTCCTTGACTGCTGTCTTGTGTTGTTCAGAACAGGAAGGCCATCTTGCAATGGTGCCTGCTGTATCTGAAGTGAAATGGGCAAATTTGTGGCTGGGGAGCTGCGTGGGCCAAAAGGAGCCAGGGTTGCTGCTGGCCTTGAGCCACTGAAGATGAGGCAGCGTGTGGCCAGGTGGCCAAGAAGGCCCAGGGCATGGTGGCCTGTGTCAGCAGCAGTGGGGCAGCAGGAGCAGGGCAGTGAGCGTGGCCCTGTGCTGGGCAGCGCTGCGGCCACAGCTGCAGTGCTGGGTGCACTTGTGGGCCCCTGGGCAGCAGAAAGTCCTTGAGGGGCTGCAGCGCGTGCACAGAAGGACAGGGGAGCTGGGCAAGGCGTTGCAGCACAAGGCCAGTGAGGAGGTGTTGAGGGAGATTTAGCCTGCACAATGGGAGGCTCTTGAGGGACCTTCAGGCAAACTTCCATCATTCCCTGCATGACAGTGCTCAGCACAAGGGCTGTTTCACACCAAAAATTCATCACTCATTGCATCCAAGGGCTTTAGACACTGGAGTGGGTGACACTTCCATTTTGTGGTTTGTTGGCTCGTTGTTTTGCTCACACGAGAAGGCCTGTTCATTTTCCTCTTTTTCCAGTAAGCAATGATGCTTCTGTACAATGTTCCCTGCCCTTTTGCAGCCCTGGATGGGATTGTGGTCCAGTTTGAGTTTTCTACGTCTGCAGCAGCAGTAGCAAAGGCGTTGCTGTCACTTTCCTAGTTTTCCATTTCAGTGCTTTCAAGCTCTAAAAGCTGCATTTGTCTGAGGTAACCTTGGCTTGCTGATGGCTTGCGGATGGCAGCCATGGAGGAAAATCAACTTCATATCCATCTAGAGTGGTGTTGAATTGTCCCATGATAATTTGGTGGCTGTGATTTAGAACCCCTCTGTCACTCTGAAATGTTATGATTTTTTCCTTAGAAGATGTTGTGGTAGATCTGAAAAGAAATGAGGTTCTACATGATAGGAAATGGCCTGTGCCTCATGCTCCTCTCTTGCCACAGATGACAGAAGCAAGAGCCGCCTCTCCCCTGGCCCCCAGTGCTCCTGGAGAAGAAGCCAAAGAGGAGCAAACTGAGGTGGATGAGCTCCAGCCTCCATCAGTGGTCAGACCACCATATTCTCAACGTGTAAGTGCCAGTTGTGTGTGGTGCTGTCTTTAGTGCAAGGCAGAGCTGCAAGGTTTGGAGCAGCCAGCACTTTGCTGTTGCTGGCTGAGGATGCTGGGTGCTGGAGTCCTGCCAGGAGCTGGGGATTTCCTCCAGGCAGAGACCGCAGAACTTGGCCTTTGAGCTGTCATGTTGAGGCAGCAAAGGGCTGGTGCCTGTGGGAGAGCATCTGGCTGCTTGGCTCAGGGAAGCTCTATCGCTTGGCTTCTGCCGTGCTATGGCCAAGGGCAAAGGAGGGAGTGCTGGAGGTGCCAGGCCTTGCTTTGTTTGTTTTCCCTCTCTGGAAAGGCGTGTTTGGCTTGTGAAAGCGGTCGGCACTTTCCATGAGTAGTTCTTCACTTGTACAGTCTCTTTTGGGCCAGCTGTCTTTTGGCTTTTGATAAGCTGCAAGGGGAGGATTGTGTGGTCCATGCAGCTGTGGGGGCCCATTCTTGTCCCGCGTGGCCAAAGAAACAAAGTGCGGAGTCGCGAAGCTTTCTTGCGAGGCCAAAAGCAGAAGCGGCCAGTTTCGGTTGATGCATAGTTTGGTGCAGTCTGCAGCTTTGGAAAGTGCCTCTGAGCCTGCAGTGGGGGTGAAGCTGCAAGTCCTTGACTGCTGTCTTGTGTTGTTCAGAACAGGAAGGCCATCGTACAATGGTGCCTGCTGTATCTGAAGTGAAATGGGCAAATTTGTGGCTGGGGAGCTGCGTGGGCCAAAAGGAGCCAGAGTTGCTGCTGGCCTTGAGCCACTGAAGATGAGGCAGCGTGTGGCCAGGTGGCCAAGAAGGCCCAGGGCATGGTGGCCTGTGTCAGCAGCAGTGGGGCAGCAGGAGCAGGGCAGTGAGCGTGGCCCTGTGCTGGGCAGCGCTGCGGCCACAGCTGCAGTGCTGGGTGCACTTGTGGGCCCCTGGGCAGCAGAAAGTCCTTGAGGGGCTGCAGCGCGTGCACAGAAGGACAGGGGAGCTGGGCAAGGCCAGTGAGGAGGTGTTGAGGGAGATTTAGCCTGCACAATGGGAGGCTCTTGAGGGACCTTCAGGCAAACTTCCATCATTCCCTGCATGACAGTGCTCAGCACAAGGGCTGTTTCCCTGCCAAACATCCCCTCACTGCATCCAAGGGCTTTAGACACTGGAGTCGCTGACACTTCCCAACTTGTGGCTTGTGGGTTTCCTAGGAGGTGAAGGCCTGTTCATTTTCTCTTTTTCCAGCAAGCAAGGATGCTTCTGCGCAAACTTTCCTGTGCTTATAGGCACTGGGAGGGATTCTGAACCCTTTCTGGTTTTCCTTGTCTACTGCAGCCGTAGCAAAGGCCTTGCTGGCTCTTTCCTACTTTTCCATTTCCGAGCTTTCAAGAACCAAAAGCTGCCTTTTGCAGAGACAACCTTGCTTGCAAATGGCAGCCAGGGAGGAATATCGAATTCATAGCCTTATACTCTTCTATTGAATGTGCCCATTTCAGTCTGGTTGGAGTGACTTTGAATGCCATTGCTAACAAAGTTGATGATTTCTCCTAAGAAGATGTGGCTGTTGATACGAAGAGAAATGGGGTTATAAGCGTTAGGTAACGGCCTGTCCCTATGATTCTCTCTTTGCCACAGGTGAGAAGAGCAAGAGCCATCTTTCCCCTGGCTCTCTCTCCTATTGCAGAAGAAGCCAGAGAGGAGGAAAATGAGAAAGATGACCACCGCCTTTGTTCAGCCGTGGTCACACCAGAACGTCCTCATCATTCCAAGAGAGTAAGTGCCCGTTGTGGGAGGTGCCATCTTTAGTGCAAGGCAGAGGTGCAACTTTCTGAGCTGCCAGCACTTGCTGTGTCTGGCCCAGGATGCTGAGTGCTGGAGTCCTGCAGGACGTAGCCGTTTCCTGCAGGCAGTGAGAGCTAGAAATTGGCCTTTGACCTGTCCTGTTGGGCCAGTGTTAAACTCGCAGCTCCGGCGGAGCTTCTGGCTGCTTGGCTCAGGGAAGCTCCATCTCTGGGCTTCTGCGGTGTAATGGCCAAGGGCTCACGTGGTAGTGCTGGAGGTCAAAAGGCTTTCTTGCTTGCTTTTCCCTTTTTGGAAAGTTGTGTTTGGCTTGTGGAAGTGTTCTGCAGTTTTCTTGAGTCGTTCTTCACTTGTAAAATCACTGCTGGCCCAACTGCCTTTTGGCTTTTGAGAAGGTGCAAAGAGCAGAAGGGCTAAGTTTCTACTGATCTGTGTAGTGATGAAGTATGCAGTTTCGGCAAGTGCATTGGAGCCCAGAGTGGGGGTGAAGCTGCAAGTCCTTGACTGCTGTCTTGTGTTTCTCAGAACAGGAAGGCCATCGTACAATGGTGCCTGCTGTATCTGAAGTGAAATGGGCAAATTTGTGGCTGGGGAGCTGCATGGGCCAAAAGGAGCCAGGTTTACTGCTGGCCTTGAGCCACTGAAGATGAGGCAGCGTGTGGCCAGGTGGCCAAGAAGGCCCAGGGCATGGTGGCCTGCGTCAGCAGCAGTGGGGCAGCAGGAGCAGGGCAGTGAGCGTGGCCCTGTGCTGGGCAGCACTGGGGCCACAGCTGCAGTGCTGGGTGCACTTGTGGGCCCCTGGGCAGCAGAAGGTCCTTGAGGGGCTGCAGCACGTGCACAGAAGGACAGGGGAGCTGGGCAAGGGGGTGCAGCACAAGGCCAGTGAGGAGGTGTTGAGGGAGATTTAGCCTGGACAGTGGGAGGCTCTTGAGGGACCTTCAGGCAAACTTCCATCAATCCCTGCATGACAGTGCTCAGCACAAGGGCTGTTTCACACCAAAAATTCATCACTCATTGCATCCAAGGGCTTTAGACACTGGAGTGGGTGACACTTCCATCTTGTGGTTTGTTGGCTCGTTGTTTTGCTCACACGAGAAGGCCTGTTCATTTTCCTCTTTTTCCAGTAAGCAATGATGCTTCTGTACAATGTTCCCTGCCCTTTTGCAGCCCTGGATGGGATTGTGGTCCAGTTTGAGTTTTCTACGTCTGCAGCAGCAGTAGCAAAGGCGTTGCTGTCACTTTCCTAGTTTTCCATTTCAGTGCTTTCAAGCTCTAAAAGCTCCGTTTTTCCGAGACAACCTTGCATGCGGATGGCAGCCATGGAGGAAAATCAACTTCATATCCATCTAGAGTGGTGTTGAATTGTCCCATGATAATTTGGTGGCTGTGATTTAGAACCCCTCTGTCACTCTGAAATGTTATGATTTTTTCCTTAGAAGATGTTGTGGTAGATCTGAAAAGAAATGAGGTTCTACATGATAGGAAATGGCCTGTGCCTCATGCTCCTCTCTTGCCACAGATGACAGAAGCAAGAGCCGCCTCTCCCCTGGCCCCCAGTGCTCCTGGAGAAGAAGCCAAAGAGGAGCAAACTGAGGTGGATGAGCGCCAGCCTCCATCAGTGGTCAGACCACCATATTCTCAACGTGTAAGTGCCAGTTGTGTGTGGTGCTGTCTTTAGTGCAAGGCAGAGCTGCAAGGTTTGGAGCAGCCAGCACTTTGCTGTTGCTGGCTGAGGATGCTGGGTGCTGGAGTCCTGCCAGGAGCTGGGGATTTCCTCCAGGCAGAGACCGCAGAACTTGGCCTTTGAGCTGTCATGTTGAGGCAGCAAAGGGCTGGTGCCTCTGGGAGAGCATCTGGCTGCTTGGCTCAGGGAAGCTCTATCGCTTGGCTTCTGCAGTGCTATGGCCAAGGGCAAAGGAGGGAGTGCTGGAGGTGCCAGGCCTTGGTTTGTTTGTTTTCCCTCTCTGGAAAGGCGTGTTTGGCTTGTGAAAGCAGTCGGCACTTTCCATGAGTAGTTCTTCACTTGTACAGTCTCTTTTGGGCCAGCTGTCTTTTGGCTTTTGATAAGCTGCAAGGGGAGGATTGTGTGGTCCATGCAGCTGTGGGGGCCCATTCTTGTCCCGCGTGGCCAAAGAAACAAAGTGCGGAGTCGCGAAGCTTTCTTGCGAGGCTAAAAGCGGAAGCAGCCAGTTTCTGTTGATGCATAGTTTGGTGCAGTCTGCAGCTTTGGCAAGTGCCTCTGAGCCTGCAGTGGGGGTGAAGCTGCAAGTCTTTGACTGCTGTCTTGTGTTGTTCAGAACAGGAAGGCCATCATACAATGGTGCCTGCTGTATCTGAAGTGAAATGGGCAAATTTGTGGCTGGGGAGCTGCGTGGGCCAAAAGGAGCCAGGGTTGCTGCTGGCCTTGAGCCACTGAGGATGAGGCAGCGTGTGGCCAGGTGGCCAAGAAGGCCCAGGGCATGGTGGCCTGTGTCAGCAGCAGTGGGGCAGCAGGAGCAGGGCAGTGAGCGTGGCCCTGTGCTGGGCAGCGCTGGGGCCACAGCTGCAGTGCTGGGTGCACTTGTGGGCCCCTGGGCAGCAGAAAGACCTTGAGGGGCTGCAGCGCGTGCACAGAAGGACAGGGGAGCTGGGCAAGGGGGTGCAGCACAAGGCCAGTGAGGAGGTGTTGAAGGAGATTTAGCCTGGACAGTGGGATGCTCTTGAGGGACCTTTCGGCAAACTTCCATCATTCCCTGCATGACAGTGCTCAGCACAAGGGCTGTTTCACACCAAAAATTCATCACTCATTGCATCCAAGGGCTTTAGACACTGGAGTGGGTGACACTTCCATCTTGTGGTTTGTTGGCTCGTTGTTTTGCTCGCACGAGAAGGCCTGTTCATTTTCCTCTTTTTCCAGTAAGCAATGATGCTTCTGTACAATGTTCCCTGCCCTTTTGCAGCCCTGGATGGGATTGTGGTCCAGTTTGAGTTTTCTACGTCTGCAGCAGCAGTAGCAAAGGCGTTGCTGTCACTTTCCTAGTTTTCCATTTCAGTGCTTTCAAGCTCTAAAAGCTGCATTTGTCTGAGGTAACCTTGGCTTGCTGATGGCTTGCGGATGGCAGCCATGGAGGAAAATCAACTTCATATCCATCTAGAGTGGTGTTGAATTGTCCCATGATAATTTGGTGGCTGTGATTTAGAACCCCTCTGTCACTCTGAAATGTTATGATTTTTTCCTTAGAAGATGTTGTGGTAGATCTGAAAAGAAATGAGGTTCTACATGATAGGAAATGGCCTGTGCCTCATGCTCCTCTCTTGCCACAGATGACAGAAGCAAGAGCCGCCTCTCCGCTGGCCCCCGCTGCTCCTGGAGAAGAAGCCAAAGAGGAGCAAACTGAGGTGGATGAGCGCCAGCCTCCATCAGTGGTCAGACCACCATATTCTCAACGTGTAAGTGCCAGTTGTGTGTGGTGCTGTCTTTAGTGCAAGGCAAAGCTGCAAGGTTTGGAGCAGCCAGCACTTTGCTGTTGCTGGCTGAGGATGCTGGGTGCTGGAGTCCTGCCAGGAGCTGGGGATTTCCTCCAGGCAGAGACCGCAGAACTTGGCCTTTGAGCTGTCATGTTGAGGCAGCAAAGGGCTGGTGCCTGTGGGAGAGCATCTGGCTGCTTGGCTCAGGGAAGCTCTATCGCTTGGCTTCTGCAGTGCTATGGCCAAGGGCAAAGGAGGGAGTGCTGGAGGTGCCAGGCCTTGCTTTGTTTGTTTTCCCTCTCTGGAAAGGCGTGTTTGGCTTGTGAAAGCGGTCGGCACTTTCCATGAGTAGTTCTTCACTTGTACAGTCTCTTTTGGGCCAGCTGTCTTTTGGCTTTTGATAAGCTGCAAGGGGAGGATTGTGTGGTCCATGCAGCTGTGGGGGCCCATTCTTGTCCCGCGTGGCCAAAGAAACAAAGTGCGGAGTCGCGAAGCTTTCTTGCGAGGCCAAAAGCAGAAGCGGCCAGTTTCGGTTGATGCATAGTTTGGTGCAGTCTGCAGCTTTGGCAAGTGCCTCTGAGCCTGCAGTGGGGGTGAAGCTGCAAGTCCTTGACTGCTGTCTTGTGTTGTTCAGAACAGGAAGGCCATCGTACAATGGTGCCTGCTGTATCTGAAGTGAAATGGGCAAATTTGTGGCTGGGGAGCTGCGTGGGCCAAAAGGAGCCAGAGTTGCTGCTGGCCTTGAGCCACTGAAGATGAGGCAGCGTGTGGCCAGGTGGCCAAGAAGGCCCAGGGCATGGTGGCCTGTGTCAGCAGCAGTGGGGCAGCAGGAGCAGGGCAGTGAGCGTGGCCCTGTGCTGGGCAGCGCTGCGGCCACAGCTGCAGTGCTGGGTGCACTTGTGGGCCCCTGGGCAGCAGAAAGTCCTTGAGGGGCTGCAGCGCGTGCACAGAAGGACAGGGGAGCTGGGCAAGGCGTTGCAGCACAAGGCCAGTGAGGAGGTGTTGAGGGAGATTTAGCCTGCACAATGGGAGGCTCTTGAGGGACCTTCAGGCAAACTTCCATCATTCCCTGCATGACAGTGCTCAGCACAAGGGCTGTTTCCCTGCCAAACATCCCCTCACTGCATCCAAGGGCTTTAGACACTGGAGTCGCTGACACTTCCCAACTTGTGGCTTGTGGGTTTCCTAGGAGGTGAAGGCCTGTTCATTTTCTCTTTTTCCAGCAAGCAAGGATGCTTCTGCGCAAACTTTCCTGTGCTTATAGGCACTGGGAGGGATTCTGAACCCTTTCTGGTTTTCCTTGTCTACTGCAGCCGTAGCAAAGGCCTTGCTGGCTCTTTCCTACTTTTCCATTTCCGAGCTTTCAAGAACCAAAAGCTGCCTTTTGCAGAGACAACCTTGCTTGCAAATGGCAGCCAGGGAGGAATATCGAATTCATAGCCTTATACTCTTCTATTGAATGTGCCCATTTCAGTCTGGTTGGAGTGACTTTGAATGCCATTGCTAACAAAGTTGATGATTTCTCCTAAGAAGATGTGGCTGTTGATACGAAGAGAAATGGGGTTATAAGCGTTAGGTAACGGCCTGTCCCTATGATTCTCTCTTTGCCACAGGTGAGAAGAGCAAGAGCCATCTTTCCCCTGGCTCTCTCTCCTATTGCAGAAGAAGCCAGAGAGGAGGAAAATGAGAAAGATGACCACCGCCTTTGTTCAGCCGTGGTCACACCAGAACGTCCTCATCATTCCAAGAGAGTAAGTGCCCGTTGTGGGAGGTGCCATCTTTAGTGCAAGGCAGAGGTGCAACTTTCTGAGCTGCCAGCACTTGCTGTGTCTGGCCCAGGATGCTGAGTGCTGGAGTCCTGCAGGACGTAGCCGTTTCCTGCAGGCAGTGAGAGCTAGAAATTGGCCTTTGACCTGTCCTGTTGGGCCAGTGTTAAACTCGCAGCTCCGGCGGAGCTTCTGGCTGCTTGGCTCAGGGAAGCTCCATCTCTGGGCTTCTGCGGTGTAATGGCCAAGGGCTCACGTGGTAGTGCTGGAGGTCAAAAGGCTTTCTTGCTTGCTTTTCCCTTTTTGGAAAGTTGTGTTTGGCTTGTGGAAGTGTTCTGCAGTTTTCTTGAGTCGTTCTTCACTTGTAAAATCACTGCTGGCCCAACTGCCTTTTGGCTTTTGAGAAGGTGCAAAGAGCAGAAGGGCTAAGTTTCTACTGATCTGTGTAGTGATGAAGTATGCAGTTTCGGCAAGTGCATTGGAGCCCAGAGTGGGGGTGAAGCTGCAAGTCCTTGACTGCTGTCTTGTGTTTCTCAGAACAGGAAGGCCATCGTACAATGGTGCCTGCTGTATCTGAAGTGAAATGGGCAAATTTGTGGCTGGGGAGCTGCATGGGCCAAAAGGAGCCAGGTTTACTGCTGGCCTTGAGCCACTGAGGATGAGGCAGCGTGTGGCCAGGTGGCCAAGAAGGCCCAGGGCATGGTGGCCTGTGTCAGCAGCAGTGGGGCAGCAGGAGCAGGGCAGTGAGCGTGGCCCTGTGCTGGGCAGCGCTGCGGCCACAGCTGCAGTGCTGGGTGCACTTGTGGGCCCCTGGGCAGCAGAAAGTCCTTGAGGGGCTGCAGCACGTGCACAGAAGGACAGGGGAGCTGGGCAAGGGGGTGCAGCACAAGGCCAGTGAGGAGGTGTTGAGGGAGCTTTAGCCTGGACAATGGGAGGCTCTTGAGGGTCCTTCAGGCAAACTTCCATCAATCCCTGCATGACAGTGCTCAGCACAAGGGCTGTTTCACACCAAAATTCATCCCCCCTGCATCCAAGGGCTTTAGACACCGGAGTAGCTGACACTTCCCAACTTGTGGTTTGTTGGTTTCCTAGGAGGTGAAGGCCTATTCATTTTCTCTTTTTCCAGCAAGCAGGGATGCTTCTGCACCATCTTTCCTGCTCTTGTCAAACTCTTGAAGGCATTCTGCACCCTCTTTGCACCTTGATCCAGGTGGAGCTTTTGTGTTTCCAGGCCTTCATGCATGGCCTTAAAGATTACTTTGAGTTTCGCAGTGCCTGTGACTTTCTACAGTCCAAGGAATCAGTGTGTGTTGTGTTCGGGAATTTAGCAGGAGGTCAATGCCCTTGCATTCCAGCTGCTCCTCAGAGATCATAGCACTTGTGGGGAGTTGCTGGGCTTTATTTCTGTTTCCAGCCACTTTAGCACCATCAGTGTGCTTGAGTCCAAGAGAACTTACCCGAGCACAGACGCATAAAGAGTGCAGTTCCCAGTGCAATTCTCTGGGTCTGATCTCTTTCCATAAGGACCTACACACTCCAAATTCCCCAAGAGTGTGCTTTTCTGAAGCAACAGGGAGCAATCTCAGGAGAGCGGGAGTGTTCGGGGCACTGGCTACCAAGTTTTGATGTGTGCAGCAACAGAGAGGACAGTAAAGGGAGGTTATAGTAGTGAGATCTATCTGCCTGTATTCCTACCTATCTATCTATTTCTGTAACATTTCCATAATTGAATTTTCCTGGCTCTGGTCCAAAGCAGTTGGAGGTGTAAAGGTCACCTAATTCATCCCTCTCAGGAAAGGATTAGAGACATGTTCCCTTGACCGATTCTGAGCAGGCAGAGATGTTTCCCCCTCCAGATATGTTGGTTTTTCCCTTTAGAGTTGTTTTCCTCCTCCAGCCTCTTGTGCCCTCAAGTCCTCACTTAATTTGTAGATTTCTGCCTGTCCTAAAGAGGTGGAACAATTCCATGTTTAGGTGGTGTTTGGTGACTCTGGTCATACATGCCATGCCATACGTGACACATGGTTTCCTTCACTGGCATCCCCAGGGCTGTGTAAGTGCATTCGTTAATGGGGCCTTAGGAGAGTCTCTGTTTCTGCTGGTCAGAATTCTCAGCTGACAAAAGAGGGAGAAGAAACACCTTGGTCCTCTTCCACATACTGAGGTGGCCATAGAGGCTCTGTGACCTCCATCAAAGATCTTTGCACACATTCTTATCTCCTGAATGACCAGGATTTCTTACAAGAGTATAGATGTCAGGTATGCAGGAATGCTGGTGCAGGCCTGAAATGAACTTGAACTGCAGAAGTGTCTCTCACAAGATCTGAGCTCACCCAGGAAGCCACCTGCAGAGCCAGGATGGAGCTGTGGGAGAGGGTGGGGTGTCAGTCACTACTGAAAGACAAACAGGACATGGCAGAAGCAGAGGGAGGCCCTCAGCAGACCCTTGAGAAATGCCACATCTTCCCTGTCAGCTGCCTGAGAGGCTGTTGGAGCTTCAGTCCCAGATGGCCCCTGATTGTAGGGCCAGGGTCACTTTGGAATCTGTGCCTCCCCTCAAACAGAGAATGACCCAGGAGAGCAGCAGCACAGTGCTTTGGGAACGTGTGAGCCCAGCAGTCTTTGAGTCTTGGCCCACAAAGGTCGCGTGGGAAGTTGAAACCCATCTTCTCTTGCTTTCTGTGCAGGTCCTTCTAGAGAAAGGGCAGGAGCAGATTGCTTCATCAGAGATGCCATGGCAGACTCAGGGAGAGCTGTTCCCAGCGCGAGAGCAGGAAGAGCAGCTCAGGCAGCAGGTGGAAGAGCCACAGGAGAATGGCCAGGTAAGCCTGACTGGCCAGGGGACAGAGGGAAGGGCAGGAAGAGGGGCATAAACCGGAGCTCTTGGGACTGAGGAGGCCAGGAGTCCCACAGGCACTGGAAGCACAGAGCCTTGGAATCTGCAGAGATCAGCCCTGGGACAGGAGGTTTGCAATGGAAGCAGAGGAGGGAAGCAGAAAGAAGGGGCTGAATAAGTGTGATTTTGAGGCTGCAAGACGAAAAAAGCTGAGTCTGATGGCAGCTCCCAGTCACTTGCTCTGCATTTGTGTGTACAGAACATCAAAGCAGAGCCACAAGCAGAGCTGCCCGAAGCTCAGAGTGCCATCATGGCAGTGAAGAGGAGGAACAAGGAAGACATGAGTAGAATTCAAGAGGATAATCTCCATCAGCAGAGGAGCGATCAACAAAACCAGGTGAGTGAAAGAGTGGCAGGCACTCCACTCATGAAATATCCTCTCCCTTCTCCTTTACAGTCTATCAAGGGACACGTGCAGGCAGAGCTGCAGGACTCTGAGGCTAGCAACAAGGTAAGGGAGAAGAGGCTGGAGGAAGAAATGAAAATCATCAGAGAGAAACTTAATCGCCTCCCTCAGGCTCTAGAAGTGAGTGAAAGAGGGATGCAGTCACTGCAGTCACCAAGCTGGTGGTTTCTGCCCTTCTTGCCTTTCCACTCAGAGCAGCAGGGAGTGGGGTGATGCCTCTGATCCTGCTGTAGTGTGTATCACAGTCACTCTGAAGGACATTTCCTGGTGTGCTGAATCTCAACTGCTGCCCTGGACAGTGAAACTTGTCCTTTGGCCTTTTGGCCAGCAGTCATCCAAGTTGATTCCTGCTGGCCTGTTCCTGCTCTCCTTGTTTCTTGAGGTGTTTTTACAGTGGAATGTGGTGACCCAGCTGGAGGATTGGAACAAGCTGTCTATATCCCTTGTCAGTCTGTTCTTTGCCTTTCCTCACAGTTGATGACTCCTGGCTGACAGGGACAAGCTGTAGTGTCTGACTGCTTTGTTCTGTTTGACTTGAGGTGCGAGTGTTGACGTCTCACCGGGCAGCCTGCGAAGACTTCCAGCGAATGTCTGGCAATGAAGAGCCCCAAGTTTGGAGTGAGGCACAGGAACAGTGCCCACCAGAAATGCTCCAAGTGCAGCACATCCTGGGCTCTGAACCTGCTGCCGCAGCAGCATCATCTCAAGGAAGCCTTTCTGTCAAACCTGGAAGCTCAAGCTGGGGCAGTTCCTTCATCTCCCTGGAACAGGAGACTGAGGAGAAGTACCTGGAGATGCTGGGTATGTCTGGGGGATTTCTTGTCTGAGGGACAGTGTGTTGTGTGCAGGTGTCAGCAGAGCTATACCAGATGCTCTTCCTGAGTTTGGTGTCACAGGGCCATTTAGGACTCCCCAGAGGAAGTGCTGTGCTCCGAGGCAGCGAGAGAGCGCTCTGGGTGTTCCTGCTGCCTCTAAGGGCACCTTGGACTGGCTTGGGTTTGCCTGAGCTTCCCTCTCCGCTAAAGGCTGAAGCAAGGATTGTTCTTGGATCAGCAGAAGGCTGTGACCTAGCAAATGATCTAGGCAAATTCTGTGTGCTAGTGGCCACACTAAACAGAATTTTTAGCTTCCTAAATTCTCCTTAGACTCCTGACTTCCAACCAGTCATCAGAGCAAAAACACTTCACAGAAATGGACTGCTTTTGGAGTTTTGTCTTTTTGGTTGGGGATTTTTTTTTTTTGGGGGGGGGGGGGGTGTTTTTGTGTTTATTTTTTGTAGGGGCCTTTTGGTTTTTTGTTTCTGTGGGGTTTTTTGTTGTGTTTTGGGTTTTTTTGGTTGATGGTTTGTGGGGTTTTTTTTGGTGGAGTTGGTTTTTCTCCATCCTGAAAGAGCCCTTCTGCCCCACATCTTACTGATGGCATTTTTATGACTGTTACTGTTACCACTACTGCATCTGCATTATATTTTCATGAGAATGCTATCTTTTTGTCAAAGAGAACTACTTTGAAAGAACATCAGGTTACAGGACAAATAGAGAGCACGAGGTGTTTTCCATGTGCCCCCAAAGAAAAAAGCAATACTTTGAGAACAACTTTTATTTAATCTTCTAGTTTTACGCTTATCAAGATGTGTCCAAGAGACACATCCAAGTGGCATGATCAGATAAAACTGTACTGCAGGCATTTCTCAGGAGAGAGCCTCCAGCCCAGCCATGGTATATTCTTTAGATCCATGGGTATTTTTCCATACCCGATTCCCACTCTTTCCCATGACTGTTAGAATCCTAGCCATTGGCCCAAGCCCTACTCACATCAGTCCCTAGGAAAACATATCAAGTCCTTTGTGATTCTGCAGCACAACCCAATGAATCTGCTTCTTGCCCGGAACAGCTGCCAGTGCTGTGCTCTCAGATAAGACCTGGTGGGGCTGAGACCAGAGCCCGGTGGATTCTGTGTCTACCATCACCTGTTGGGACAAAAAGGGCATTGATCCACGCCTCGGTGGGGCTGATCTCAAAGCCCATCCTGTTGTGTCCTGAATGGGGGCAACAGCTTGTAAGGGGTTCAGGCTCACTCTGGCTTCTTCCCATCAGTGCCTGTCAGTGCTCATGCTTGGGCTTTGCCAGCCTTGTTGTGCTAGCTACCCTGTCCCTGAGGGCTGGAGGGACTGCAGAGGCTGGAGCCTTCCTTAGCTGGGAGAGGGGCATCTTTGAGCTCAGCCTGCTCATAAACAGGTGAGGGTCCTGATGCTGAAAGTCCTGTCAGAATCGATTATAGCATGAGCTGCTCTGGTTTACAAATGGGAAGGAATTCTTTTGGCAAATTGCTGAAAGGTGGAGAAGATTTCCTTCTCTCCTGGAAATGCATCTCCCTTTGCTTTGTTTCCTGTCAAGAGAACTCTTCAAAGGACTGTACAAAATCAGTCTCTGTGCCAGCCATCTGTACTGCAGGGCTGCCTATCCTGTTGCTGTTGCTGTTGTGGTTGTTGTTACCCAGCTGAGCACAAAGGGCTCAGAGCCCCAGAGAGTGGGGCTGCCTTTTATATCTCCTGAAAGCTGCGATCTCTGCTTTCAAGTTAGCATCCTGCATTTTATTTCCCTTAGGGAGAATGGTCAACCAGGAAAATCCCATGATGAAATACACTGAACTGGAACATATTGGCAGCGGGTGAGTCCAAGCGCAGTTACTCCTGCACAACCATGGGCCAGGTGTTTTTCTGGTGGAATGTCTATCTTGCGTGAAGTCAGGCAAGCTGCAAAGATGTTCACACACTGGGGATAGATTGTCCCATCTCTCAGTGCTGCTCAGAATTTGTGAGTGGGCTCAGAAGGCATTGTTAGCAACATCTCCATGTTGCCAAGGTCTTGCCTCCATCAAGGAACAGGACCTGGAAGATCTCCTTGTCTCTCAAGTGTGGGACAGCTCTGTGTTAATTTCTTTAGCATTTTTGGATGTCTCAAAATCATACTGGCACACTAATGATAAAAGAAGAAACTTGCTTGCCTGAAAGAGCAACTTACCCCCATCAAAGCTTTAAGATAACAGTTGCCAGGAACATTTCTTTCCCCTGGTTTGCAGAAGGAAAGTCTCTGTGGTCAGGATAGGAACCACACAGTTTAGAAAGTGAAACCCAAGAGGAAAGACTAAACTCCCTTTAGAAGTTGAACCCCAGTGCTTCAGGAACAGGCTCAGTGCCCATGCACTTGAGAGGAAAATGCATCATCTGCCTTCTGGCAGAGCCCTCTGCATCCTCTGCAGGTTTTGACACTTCCAGCAGAGATCTCCTGTGTGGGCTGGCTTTCACTCTAGGAGCTAAACAGCTTCTCCTTTCTCTGCTTCTGTTTTGTTTCTAGGGGTTTTGGACATGTGGTCAGAGCACTCAACAATGCCACAGGAGGAGAGGTAAATGTCAACAGGCCCTGCAAACTCTGCTGCTCTTGAGGGGCTTTCCCCTCTGGTGTGAGCTGTGGCTGGAGCTTTGGGTAGAGCTGTGCTGAGAAGGCACAAGAAGCACAGACTGCTGCCAGCCTGCAAAATACATTTGGGACTTTGTCCTCCTCAGCTGCTGGAAGGAAGGCACGGAGGGCAGCGGTTCCTTTCAGAGAAGGACGCGCTCGCTCGCTCTCCATTGCTAAAACAAAGGTGGTGCCTTTGAGCACCTCACTGCTCTTTGGGGCTACAGCTTCAGAGTCCTGAATTCTCATTTCTGGCTGCCAGCAAATACATCTGAAAGTTCCTGGTAGTTCCTTAGCCACCTGCAGTGCAGCACTTGGGAACTGCACGGAGGGAGAGATCTGTAAGGTGCCCTAAAAGCCCTGCCCATAGGCCAAGATGTATCCACAGAGTATTAAGGCATGGATTACTTCTTCTGAATCCCATCCAAAGCAGCAGAGAGTGTGGTCAGAGGTTTGCCGGTGATAGCTGAGACACCACTGTTACCAAGTGGTCAAGGCAAAATGTCAGTGGCCCCACGTGTGCTGTAACTGGCCCCCAAGGGAGCAGAGAAATGGGCTGTTGGAATGTCAGTTCCTCATGACTGCAGTGCCTCATCACAAGGCAGTTTGGCACAGCTCAGCTGTGTCATTGCAAAATCACTTGCTCCATGTGCATTGTGGTCTCGTGCCACCAACTTCTCGAGTTACTGATTTTCAATGTCATTTTAGGTGGCCATAAAGAAAATAAATCTCCAAGGACTGGGGAGGAAGGAACTAACTGTTAATGAAATCGTGATCATGAAGAGGTATAGGAGTTCCAGTGTTGTGAATTATTTAGACAGGTGAGAGGTCATGGTCTTATCCCATCAATGGGCATTTACATACAGCAAACATGAGAGGTTAAAACCCCACTTTGATTAGTGGCAGAAAGTAGAGCTGTTAATTTTTATTTATTCATATTTCTCTACTCATCTCCAATGGATGAGAAGAGAGTGCATCTTGTCTGCATGAGTTTTCCCTGCCACTCATCGTTTGAAAATTATTCCAAACTTATTCAAAACCTGGATCAACTGTATCTTCCTAAGTCAATAGCCTCAAAGTACACTGCCTCCACATTTTTTCAGGATTGATTTTTTCAAGTTTCTTAAATGCTGATGGACCATCCTAAAGTGGATTTCCCTTAGATTGTTGCCCCTCTTTGCCATTGCTGTGCCATTGCTGTGCATGCCAGGAAGACGAGGTGCTTATTTCCAGAAACACCATGCCTGACAGGTTTTTACCTGGGCTGTTACTAAACTGCATTTTTCACTTGCTGGCCATCTAAGATTTCTTTTTCACAGCTGTGTCTTTCTCCTCCAGAACTGCACAGACTGCAGATTGTCTATTCCTTTGATTCTGTCTTAGTCACAAAGGCACCTGGAAACAAGAAACCTGGAGGCAAAAAGTCAAGCTAGCCATGCTTGTTTATCTCCATGCCCTTGTTTCCTTCTTTCAGCTACCTTCTGGGTGAGGAACTCTGGCTGGTTATGGAGTACATGGATGGAGGCGCCCTCAGTGATGTCATCCACAAGACCTGCCTGTCTGAAGACCACATTGCAGCCATCAGTCGGGAGGTCAGCAATCCCATCTGTGCTTCTGAGGGCTTGGGCAGGATTGTCTGGGAACAGGGGCTCAGAACAGGAGTGATTTCCTGTTCCAAGCTTTGTTTCTGTGTTGCTGGTATGCTATGGGCAAGTAAAAGCACCTCAAGTGAAAGGCCTGCCAGTGCCCCTGCACTCCCTGTACTCAGTGCCAGTACTCTTATCTCCTGCTGTTGTACTCTCGCTCTGTCTCTTGTATTTGCTGTTCTCCATCTTGCCTCGCTAAACTTTTGCCTGTCTTCACTGCATTCCTTGCCTGTAAAAGCAAAGGTGCTGGTGGCAGGATTTGAAACAAACAGCAAAGAAAAAAAAGAGACTCATTTCTCTCAGTCCTCAGCTAAAAAGGATAGGAGTGCAGCCCAAATGCTCTTTGCTTCTGAGCACATGCACTGCAGCAGCAGTCATTCTGGCTGGTTTGCAGGGGACAGCCTACAACAGCAGGTGCTGTTGCTCTTTCAAAAGCTGACATGCCTTTCCTCAGAAAGGACCTGCTCTGCAAGTGTTGGAGCAGCAAGCTCTTCCTCTCAGTGGCCATTACTGTTCTGCCATTACTCCCCATTCCCCTGGAGAGGGAATCTTTTAGATTCTTTGTTTCCTTTCTTGTGTGATGAAATCCCATCACTCATTTTTCCCTTCTCTTTCTGTATTCTCTCTCAGTGCCTGCAAGGACTGGATTTTCTTCATTCAAACGATGTGATCCATCGAGATGTGAAGAGCGACAACATCCTTCTCAGAACTGACGGTTCTGTCAAGCTGAGTCAGTATATTCTTGGTTATGTGCAGCATTCCAGGGATGTGGGTGTGGGGCTGCTTTGCGTGACTGCCAGCTCCCCAAAAATGGTGCTGGTGGCAGTGCAGGGACACCCACTGTGAGCTGAGGGCACAGTTGCAACATGCACAGAGGTAGGACAAGGAACAAGCAGTCAAGGATGGCCTTGCTCTGTGTGTGTCCCTTGCAGAGGGAGGGAGCTACAAGTCTAAAGTTTCCAAAGAACAAAAGCCACTGCTGGAGGCAGTGTAAAAAATGGGGGAATTTTTTAAGTCGCCAATGCCAGGAGATTCAACAGCACATTTTCAAACTTCTACTGGGGAATTCTTTTGTACGTTTTCCTAATTGCACAGAATTGAAATAAAACCAGTATTTTGCTTTCTCCTCAGCTGATTTTGGCCTCTCTACTCAGCTCACCCCTGAGCAGAGCAGACCGTGCTTGGTAGCCGGGACTCCTTGGTGGATGGCACCTGAAGTGGTGACAGGTCAACCATATGGCCCCAAAGTGGACATATGGTCTTTTGGAATTGTGGGGATTGAAATGTTAGAAAAAGAACCTCCTTACTGGGACCAAAGTCATACCTCGGTAAGGAGCAAATACTCACTCATCCCACTGCCTTTCTCGCCTGTCCCATGTCCTGTGTGCCATTGGACAAAATCCCATCGCCATCTGCTGGAACTACTTCCATCAAGTTTCCCTCTATTCCACTACTTTCCCTCCTAAAAATGTCCCTGCAACACATCAGCATCTGCTGTAGATTTGGATACATCAGTGGTCGAACTCAAGCCTTACCATATGCAAACAAACTCCATTCTCAGGAAACACTTTCCCTTGGGTTATAAGTGGTTCCAGTTCTTTTGTCTGTGGAGATGGCCCCAGTAACAGGAAACAAGCACCTTAGAACTGCTGTTATCTTTCCATAAATGAAGGAAGGAAACCCAAACCCAACAAAGTTTCTAAAACTGTGGTCTTTAGAGAGGAACCTAACCCCCTCTGCAGTTTCTTCTCACTGGGAAACATGCCTGAAACCTGGGCATGAGGGTGTAAAGGCCACAGAGTCTCTTCTGCTTCTTCTGCAGTGCTGCTGCACTGCATTTAGTGACTGTGTTTCTCTCCTAGCCCAAGGCCCGTTCTCTGCATCACCAAGCCAGAGCCTGGTGATGTGGAGAGCCAGCCAAAAGCTCCTGTTTGTTTCCTGGCACTTTCTGGGATGGGCCTACCATTAATGTATTGACTTGAGTAGCCAAATGAGCAGAGGGTGACCACAGGGATGGCACCTCTCCTCCTCTGACCCTGACAGTTTTTCTTTTGCTGCAAAATGGGAGGGAAGCTGAAATTTTCAGACTGCTGAGAGACAGAGCTGCAGGTGGCTCCTGTGTGGCCAAGCAGGCATTTTCATCCCAATACATTTGTGCAGGCATCTTAATGTGTCTGTGTTGAAGATGAGATTGTAAATGTTTGTTTCCTTCTCTGGGGATTAACTGATGGATTTCCTTTCTTTCCTTCCAATTCCCATTGTTTTCAAGAACAGCACAAAAAGCTTGATGAGTTTTGTTCTATGGCATGTGTGCTTCAAGGACCAACAAGCACTGCAGAGATGCCTTTCATGTACTAACCCTTGAAATTAGTTTGTATAGCACAGCTTCCAAAAAGCCTCTCAAGCTGGTGTGAATCCTCAGAGAAGCAAATGTGCATTTGTTGATGTAGTTCCCACTAACTAGGTCAGTCAATCAAATCAGCTGCCAAGGCAAGATCTGCAGGATGGTGGAAAAGCTGTGGCTGCATCGGGGTTTGGGTTTTTGGTTGGTAAAGGAAAGTCATCTCTGGGTCTTTGCAAGGGCAGAAACTGCCACTGAAGAACAGAGGTTAAACAAAGGGATCTGGGAGAGCCTTAGAGATGTGAAAGCAGCAGGTGGAGCCTCGTGGTTTTTTTTTTTCTCCAGGCTCGACGCCTGATAGCCACAGTAGGGACCCCAAAACTGCGGCAGCCCAAGCTCCTCTCAGCTTTGCTGCGTGACTTCCTGAGCTGCTGCCTGCAGACAGATGAGGAGCAGCGCTGGTCTGCCAAGGAGCTCCTGCAGGTAAAATGTGAAGGGGCTGCAGGTGAAACAGGCTCTGAGGGATGGGCTCCTCCTCCACTCAAGTTCAAGGCATCAGATGAGCCCCCTTCCTCCTCACCTCCACTCTTGGTGCTCTTCAAATGAAAATGGTGAGGAATCCTAGACTGGGCTGGGCTGGCAGGGCCCTGTAAAAGGTCCTGTGGTGCAAGTGTCCTGCAATGAGCAGGGACATCTTTAAAGAAATCAGGTTGCTCAGAGCCCTTTGCCACTTGACCTGGAATGGCTCCAGGGATGGGGCACCTACAAGCTCTTGGGCCAAGCTGTGCCAGGGTTGCACCATGCTCCGAGTAAACAAGTTCTTAGACCTACTCTGACTTGATCCCCATTTTGTTTAAAAATATTCACCCACATCCTATTGTAACTGGCCCCACTTTCTTCAAAACCACTCTGAAGTCTTGAAAAGCAACAGTAAAATCTCCTTCAGGCCTGTTCTTCACAAAACTGAATAACTCCACCTCTCTCCTCATTTCCTGAGAGGAGAGCTGCTCTGTTTTCTGTTTCTGTCGCCCTCTTTTGTAATTTGGTGGGGTGTTCAATTTTATCTAACAGCAAAAGAATTGAAGTAGAGCAATGCAGGGTACAGAGACATGAAATGGTGGTGGAGGAACCCAAGGAAGCCAGTCCCAGCTGAGCAGTCAGAGATTTGGCTGTGGGCAGGAGGGGCTGTGGGGGGCTCACTGGGAGCCTCGGAGGGGCCCTGGTTTGTACCCCCCAGCCCACCCTTAGAGGTTTCTGGCACACAAACAGGGACAGCTGGGAGGGACTTGTCCCAGCCCCATCTGCTGCCTGGCATGCCCAAGCAGATGGGAACTGTGCCAGGGTTACTGCCAGGTTGTGTGGCAGAGAGGGAACTGCAGGGCCCAGTGCCACTGGGCTGGCCCTGCTGGGAAGGAGGGTGCCATCCAGCACACAAGGGGCAGGGCATGGAAAGGCAGACACTGCTCTGTCTCCCTGTGGGAATCAGCACAGTGCCTGTCTTGCAAAGACAGGGACCTATATGAGTCATTGGAGTTTCCTGAAAAGAAGAAACTCCAAGGACAGAAAGCACCATTTCTACAGCACTGGCAGGGCAAAAATCTCAGCAAGATGAAGACACCTGGATAAATGGATGAGTGGGATTCTGGGCCAGGTTTGCCTGTGATGGCAAAGTCCTGCACATAAAGATGGAGCTGTAGATGGTCCCATTGGTCCTCTTCCCGCATCCTTCTAGAAGCCAGAGGAATCCTGTGAAGCACTGAGCTTGGAAAGTCATGGTTCCTTGGTTTTTGTTGATTTGGTTTCTTTCCCTTTGGGCAGCATCCATTTGTAAGATTTGCTGAGCCTGCGTCCAGCCTGGTGCCACTGATTGTTTCAGTGAAGAAGAGGAAGGAGACAAGAATGTGACAATCACATCAGGATCATTTATTCCTCAACCTTCTTAGAGTAGGATTGTAGGTTAGGATTAGGATTAGGATTAGGATTAGGATTAGGATTAGGATTAGGACTAGGACTGGGATTAGGATTAGGATTAGGATTAAGGTTAGGGTTAGAGTAGGATTGTGTAATAGGACTGCAGAGTAGGATTGGAAATTAATAAAGTTTCTGAAACCACAACTTGCCTTGAAGATTCCCTTCCTTCTCACTCTGCAAATAAACTCGAGAATTCCATCTGAATTGTCTGTTGTTTCTTAAAGGTGGAAAGTGACACAGTGTCTTTGGCATGGTGTGAGAGTGGGGAAGGATCTTCTCCATTCATCCTCTCCAGACCACACTGCCTTTGGAATATGGCGCGCTGGTCTGTTTTTGGCCAGCTTTGGTACTTCTATTTGAGGCAGAAAGGGCAATGGCATTTGAAGGCAAAACCAAAGGAGGAATGAGGCAGGCCAAACATCTTGTGCAGATGCAGGCGTTCAGCTGTGACTGGAGAGCATTGGGGTTCCTGCCACTTGGATTTGGATCCCTAGGTGCAATGTCTTTGTCTGGAGGAGAGCCTTGCTCAAGTGAGAAAGCAGAAAGATCAGAGAGGGTGCTCGGCAAGGTCTCCTGAGGTGCAGAGCTGTGAGAGCCTGTGAGGTGAGAGCAGGCCCGGCCTTGCCCGGGCTGGAGCCCCAGCAGAGCCCAGGCAGAGGCGGGAGCAGGCTGAGCCCTGGCAGAGGCAGGCTGGAAGGAGGCCCTTGGAGCTGCAAGAGGCAGCAGCCGGGCCCTGGGTGCCTGTTCCTGGGAGCGGGCGAATCCTGCGCTCTCAGAGCCCAGGTGGCAGCTGGCTGCTGCCGAGGGGAAGCGCAGCCATGCTGGGCACAGCCCAGCCTGGAGGCATTGGCCGTCTGGAGTGTGCCCAGGAGCAGAGAAAGGCCAAGGGCAGCCGAGAGCCGCTGGGCTGGCTGAGGATTCCTCCTCTTCTGCTGGCTGCCCTGCAACTCCTGGCCAAGGTCAGCAGTGTGTGCAGCACCCTGGGCACCGGGGCAGGGAGCCGGGCTGCTCGGCAGGCTGGAGCACAGGGCAGCCTCCTTCAGGCCCGGCACTTCTGCCAGGGCAAGCGAGGCCAGCGTGAGGCAGGGACAGCTTGGCAGGGCACGTCTGCAGGAGCCAGCGCCTCACACAGCTCTGGCAGGAAGCACCTGCAATCCTGCAGTTCTGCACTCAGCCAGAGCAAAGGTGTGAGATGCAGAGTGTTTGGCAGAAATATTCAGGCCCACCAGGCCAGCCTGCTTTGTGCTCTCTGGCACACAGCAAGCGCTGTGCAATGCAGCTCTGAGCTGCTGGGAGAGAGGCAGTCGGGGATGTGCCTCAGGCTTGTGCTTGAGGAGTGAACTGATTTGGAAGGGAGGAGAATCTGAAAGACAGATACAATGTGGCTTCATTAAGCAAAAGCACAGCTTTTTTTTTTTTCTCCTGCATTTTAGTATGACAACCCAGGCAAGCCCTTCAAAACCGCAACTGAAGCATTTCCCACCCAGTGAGCATAAAAAAAACCCAAACCCCCCTCCCCCCATCTTTCTATTGTAGATCTTGACATTTTGGGCTGGTCCTGCAAAGGATGAAGCTGCCTTTAAGGTCTGAAGCACCTTCTTGTCTTGCCAGCAAGGACACAGATACTTGAGCAGTTCTGGAATCAGGCTATGAGTTTGTTTGCTTTTGGCTTCTCGTGTTGTTGCAGCCCCTCTGTGCAAATAACCCTGCAAGCTGACTGAGCCTTGCTCACTCTGTCCCTGCCAGTGTCTTGGCAGAGGCAGCAGATGGAAGTCTCTTCTGCTGGAAAGGGAACCTATTTGCAATGGTGTAGTGATCCCAAAGTCCGTACAGTACCACACCAAAGGATTAGGCCCTTCACTCTTCAAAAGCTTGTTACTGATCCTGCCTAAGGTGGTTCTACTGAGTATCAGCCAGGGCTCACACCTCTATTGCAGGGCTGTTCTTCTTCTCAGTAATCATCGCTCAGCCGTCTCTCACTGACATATTGCTGACTGAAGACCTGTCTCTTCCATATCCCCTATGAAAAGACCTTACCTTAGAGTCTCAAATTTAGCATGCATGCGTGTGTGAAAAAAACCCCACAAGCCTTTAGGAAAATCAAGACATTAAAGCAGATTTCATTTATCAAACCCACAGCAACTGCATTAAAATGTGGGTCTATGAGCCTTTCTTCAAAATTTTTCTTAATCATAGCTCTAGAGTAATTTTTGAGAGATAAGTATGCTGCCCCTAACAAGCCCAGATGACTTAGCAAGGGGTAATTAGTCATCCATTAAGCATTCCAGCAGTTGCATAGCATTTTATTCTGATAACTGATCCCTGGATATTGCAACCAGCTTGTGATTTGTGTCTGCCCACTTCTTTTCCATGTTCTGAGCCAAGAGCAATAGTATCCTTGTGAGTGCACCTGAACACATTTGACAGTGACACCTCATCCTATTGCCTATATTCTCCCACAGAAGATTCCTTGCTCTTTTTTCTCTGCCACCAATGGGGATCTGCAGTCCCTGCCCGGCACTGCTCCTTGTGGCTTGTCAAGGCAGAGGCGATGCTCTGGTGCACCTGGCACAGGTGAGCCTCGGGCCTGGGCAGGGACCGATGCTCCGAGCTGCCGCGGATACGGCGGCGAAGGCGAGCGGTGCCGAGGCCTCGCTGGGAAGCCGAGCGGCGCCCGTGGCGCTGCCTCCCCGGGCAGGGCTGTGCTCTCAGCGCCGCCGGGGCTGCCGAGCAGCGCTTTCCACGCGCCTGCGGCTCCGGAGCCAGCCCCGCAGCCGCGCTCTCCTGAACCGCACTGACCCGCGCCCATTCTCGGCCCGGCTGCAGGACTCCCTGATTCCGGGCTCTCCGGCTTCCCGGTCTGCCTGCAGGAGCCTCCTCTCCCGAACTCCCGCCGCTGGGCTCTCTTCTCCCACATCTTTCCCCTCTTTCCCAGGCCCTCTCCACTCTACTCCAGATCTCCCCCCTGTTCTCAGGTTCTCCCCCGTCTCCTGGTTTCTCCCTCCTCTCTCGGGTTTTCCCCAGTCCCGAGCTACCCCTTGTCCCAAGCTCCTCCCTCTCCCAGGCTGTAGCCAGTGCTTTTATTCGTCTCCCTGGATCTGCCCTTCTCCCAATTACTCCTCCCTCTTCCAGGATCTACCCCTTCTCCCAAGGCTCTCTCCTCTTTCTCCGGCTCTACCCTCTTGGAAGGCAACCCACCCTTTCCCAGGGATCTCACCCCCCCTCTCCTGTGATCTCCCCTACTCCCAGGCTCGTCCCCCTCTCTTGGGATTTTCCCCCTCCTCCCAGCACCTCTCCGCTCTCCTGCTCCCTCCCTCTGCCAGGTCTCTCTCCCCTCTGCCGGGATCTCCGCCCATTCCCGGAGCGCCCCATCCCCCGGCCCCTCACCGCCCGTCCCTCACCGCCTCGGCCGGGCCGCTCCGGGGCCGTGCTTGGAGCGCAGCGGGGCTGGGCCGGGGCCGTGTCAGCTCCGCGGTGGGGGCTCCTCCGGCCTCGCTCCGGACACGAGGAGCTCCGACCTGTGCTCGCTTTGTACCTTCAAGACTGCCGGATGCCTTGCAGTGAAGCTGGAGTGCCCGGGCTATTCTGGTCGCTTCTTGTCCTCAGCTCAGCAGTGTTATAAATGATCAATCGAAAGCCAAATTATCAAAAATGCAAAAAGATTTATCTTTTTCTGTCACCAAAATACGATCCTCAAAACCACCACAGCCAAAGAGACAGCATCAAGCCTCGGATCGGCGCTCGGTGAACCTGGATCTCACCTCTATCGCATCGGACCCCCCTCGTTCATGAGAGCCGCTTCTTGCGGGGATATTTTTACAGTTTATTATGCCTGAGGCAAAGGAGTCCAAGTTTCTTTTGTAACTTTTCATAGTTGGTTCTTTCACTGTGCAGAGCTGGACAATCGCCATTTCCTGGTCGACAGCCAGCATTGATCAAATCCAAGAAGTCGCGTATTCACATGCATCTTTCTGGCGACTTTGGCTATCTTGATCGATGTTATCAACAGGGCAATGATCGATGATCGCTCTTAGGTGTCTTCTGATGGCTCGGGATAACAGTGATCATCACGCTGGGTGCGTCTATTCATGAGCTAACTGCCGATTGTTCTCCTGCCACCTTCAGGAGCTTCAGAATTTGAATAGACGTCTGCCTCTCTGGCTGCTTGTGGTCTGAGACTCGTTTGGATTTTGCAATCTTTATAAAATACATCCTTTTATAGCATCAATTATTTCTAACATATATTACAGCAGGAAGATGATTCCAAGCATGGGTGTGAGGGATGTGTGTGCAGTTTGTGTCCTTGAGTCCCTGTGTGTTGGAGTTTGATGTGTTCACTCTGGCAGTAAATTCTTGGGTATCATGATTATGAGCCTGGATTTACCCAGGCTTTTAAGTGAAGAGAACATGGAGACATTTTTCTGTGCAGTTCCTAGAAAACGGGTATATTTTCCATGGAGGTTCTGTCCTATTTTGATTTGTCTTGGAGGAGCTTGTGGGTTTATTTGCTGCTGGAGTAGTTACTGAATATGAATAATTTTGAGTAACTAGAAGAAAACACTACCTCACAAAAAAGGATGCTCACTTTTAAAATTTCAGAGGTTTATTATAAAATACAACAAGACTAAATAAAGAAAAATTGCACCAGTGAAAGTATGGAATCAAAGTGCCATGTGCTTGTTTACACAGTGGCTGCTCCGCCTTTTCTACCCCTGTGGTTACATCACTAACCCTGGCCCTTCCCAAAGTCGCTCTGTCAACTCTTTTTTACCATCCATTGGTGGAGGCTACTTTCTTGCGCCTTGATTGGAGGTCAGGTGGTGTCACAGCCGCGCCTGCTAGCAACAAGCTTTTCCCATCTCCTGCAAGGGGCGCAGTGTACTCATCCTCCCTTTGAAGCAAAGTAGAAATTTTCCAGGGTAGAAATCCATTTG